TGGCCCTGAAACTGGATCGTGCAAGGGAAGGAGGGGAACATGGGTGGAGGAGGAGAATAATGTGAGTGCGAAACTTGCTAACACTGGCCAAATCACGCTTTAGCATCCCCATCAGTTCTGTTTAGGTGTTTGTGTAACTGATTCAGCTCGCCGTGCAAGCTGCACCGCATGACTCAGCTCTAAGCATCTTCCCACAATAGAGCGGGGATTGATCCATGGCATCGCTAGACGCAAACATGGCCGTGCCTGGTAGGATGCTGTGTCTGGGGCGTGATGGGAAAACTAAAAGGGCTGCTATTCAACATCCACTGGACCACAGGCTGTAGAAAAGCCCCCAGTGCTGAGCGCCTCTCGCGCCGAGAGATGGCCTCCCTGGATGGCCCCATCATGGAATATTGCTGGGGTCTCCAACATGGTGCCCATGGGCCCAAATGTGCCCCCCCCCACACCTTCCTCGGTGCCCATTGGACTCCTCAGCTTTCTCACTGGGCATGTGTGATTCCTTTAGTCTCACACTTAGCTTTTTTTACTGGTCACATTCTGTAAAATTAGTTAGAGCTGGAAACAGTGGGTTTGTGTTTTGGCATCCAGCCTCCCTCTCTGTCTTGTACTAAGTTTCTTTCATTGTTCTTTATTTTTATTTTTTCATCCCACTAGTCTGCCTTCTGGGAAAAAGTTCTTCTATGGCTGGTCCCCCGCCCTTCGGCAGTCATTTGTGAATGGGCAAGATGCTAATAATGCTCTAAATTCCAATTGTGCCCACAGGCCCCCAAAATCTGGGGAACCTTGAGGTTCCAGTCATTTCCTAATGTGCGGACTGGCTCTCAGTCCTTGCTCGATGTCGCTGGAGGCATGAGGGCAGCGCTCCAAAAGGCAAGCCGCATATCACGCAAGCTCAGCACAGGAATACAAGCCCTCCTCTGACAAAACTGTGGCAAAGGCATCCGTGGACTCTGCCAAGCGGAGTGCGAGGCCGCAGCTATGTGAGCGCGGCTGGAGACAAAGAGCCCACGCAAGGTCTCCCTGCAGATGTCGGAGAGAAGGGGCTAAGCATCTCAGGAATGCACACGGTGCTCACCGACTCGGTCTCCTGATCACGGAACTCTGGCAGGCCTCTGGAGAAATATGCTGCTCTCCTCTGACCCATCGCAGCCTCCTCTCCGTGGGGAAGGGCAGCTGCAGACCAGGTGTGTGGAGTAACAGCTTGGCTCTGGGAATGAGGGCGACGCTCTTGTTTCTGCAAGCTTGCTCCATATCTCTGTCTTGCAGGCAGGGAGACGAATGGGGACTGGTTGGGAATGGCAGAGAAGCGGCTCGTTCAGGAAGGCCGGGATCAAGGTTAACGCAACATAGGAATAGGGTGGGAAGAGATCCATTTCTCCCCCTCCTCCTCCTCTCAAAAGGCTCGAACTCTGGGTCACCCAATGAAACCGACTGGGTGAATGGAAAGAAGAAGAAAAAAGCTCTTTACCCAGTGGGTAATTCTTGTGAGGACGTCCCCCACTGCAAGGGCACAAGCTGATGTGGGTTTGCTGCACGATCAGACCAATTCATGCACCATCAGCCTGTGCACACCTACAAGCCCCGGTGACCCGTCCAGAAGCACGTCCCCCAGAATACCAGGTGTCGCGAGGGCCAACAACAGGGGAGGGCTGTTGTCTTTCAGCTTTGTTTATGAGCTTCTCAAACCATGTGGGTGTCCGTTGTTCACATCAGAACAGCCAAAATGATAGTATCTTCGTCTCGACCGTGAAGTCCGCTACGGCCTATGAGCAGCAAGATGAGGACAGATAGAGAAGAGGGCGAGGGCAAGCTGTTTACTGTTACCCTTGGATCCCCACCTGTAAAATGGGAATAAAAACCTATTTCCATTACAACGAACAATGCCGTTCTCAGGACAAAAGCAGTGTACGCAAGGCCCTGAAATATTTTCCAAGGACGCTCAGCCTGGCTGTGGCCATTTGCGTCTGGCTGTAGCCCTTGAATCCACTCATTGATCTCGCTCCTTTGGTTCCGTTCCTCCTCTTTTCTCCCCCTCAGGTGATCCCAGCTGATCCAAGATAATGCCTCTAATCAGATTTAGGCACGTGCTTCTATCACGGATGGCAAATGAAGCTCCTCTGACAGGAGGGCAGTACTTTTTGTGTTGAATTGCCCTAATTCTGAGTGGATGGTCCCTTTTCTCCCTCCATTGTTTTGACAGTCCCTGAAACATAGCTGAAATGTTTTTCGTTTTGCTATTGATGAGTATTTGTATGGCACAATCCCCCTTTTCAGCTCTGCCCCAGTGGTGGAGGCCAATCCAGTAAAGAGTACCCAGAAAATTCTGCTATGATTTTTCTGGAAAACCAAGATGGAAATGTTACAACCGGAACGCACGAAGCTGAGAAGCACAGCTTGGAATACATTTCTGCAGCCATGGCTGCATTTGAAATGTGTGATATATTCCACAACCACTCAAGAGCCATTGCTTGAGCATTATAAAGCAGAAGGAAGGTACGTGTACTTCTATCTTCAAGCTCTGTTCTAGAAAGGAGAGGCTGGTGACTTCTATCTCTGCTGTGCTCTTCATCCTTGCAGCCTTTCTTTTCATCTTCATAGGAGTTGTCCATGATGCTCCATGGTTCTGAACCAATTCTGGGGACAGAGTTCAGCACCCTGGATTATTAAGAACTCAAAAGAAAAGTTGCAGTGGATGGGGAGTCCTCCTGAGATAGGCTGGGAATCTTGGGGCCCAGAGATTTTCTAGAATAGAGATTCCTCAGTAAGAAGGCCCAGCATGTGGACAGTCCTCCAAGAAGGCTAACCTTGCTGGTCTCTCGCTTTGGAGTGGGCAGCTCTGTTCTGTGTCGCAGTATGAGCTGTGGTCTGTTATGGCATGGTCCAGAAGAGCAGAGAGGTGCAAGAGCTGGACTGCAGCACAGGGGCGCAGCATGAAAATTTGGTGGGGGAGCAGACTGCTCTCCACCAGACCCTCTGTAGGCCAGATAGCACAAGTGGTTTTGGCCTGAAACATCCAGGGTGATGCTTTGCAAATGCCTCGGGCCTCATCGTAAACATGCAGTCCTTGGTTGCAGATGGTTCAGTGTGAACATTTCCAAAAGTGGAAAAGTTGGATTGTTTAGCAATTTGCAGATGTTTATTCTGGAGTACCCAAAACAGGTTTACTGGGGTCCTTCAGATGTGTTGGATTATAACTCCCATAATCCCAGCCAGGGTGGCCGATGGCCAAGGTTGTCCTAAAAAGTTGCTAAAGCATGACTCCAGCTTCAGGCCTGTTAAAGGAAATGCCAAATGGCCTTCCAAACTTAGCAAACTATTCTTGCTACGTGTGGAAGTATTGCCAAACCCAGGACTTGAATGTAGTCTGTTCTTAAAAATAAGCTGCCTGCATTTTAGCAGAACACCTGCAACAGGAACTGCCGAATTCTGCGGTGGGTAGAAATCATGCAGTGATGCACACGCTGCAACACACTTTGCATTGTTTTATTCTGCTTTGATGTCACGTTTATTATTTTCCTGCTAGTTTCGGGAAAGGAGAAGCAAGGGGAGAGAGGCAGGGCCACCTCCTGGTTTGGCCTTTTCCAGCAGCTGTTCAGTGCCTGAGAAGGACCTGACAGTACCCAGAATAAGGGGGCCGCTTACAAATGGCCAATGAAGACGGACGTGCATCACAGAAAAGGAGAGTGCAGACCGGTTCTGGTTTGCATAAATTTGCATGTGTTAATATCTACCTCTCTGTGTGGATTTACACAATATTTTGAAATTCAGCGCACAGTTTCACCTTTGTATGGAAGACAGTGACCACCTGACCTGTGTCCCCTGTGCAGGTGCTCGCTGTCCTAATGGGTCCTTTACTTTTAGGCCAGACTTGGGATGGGACAGCCTGCAGAGGATGACCTGAAAGCAGAAGTCAGCTTGCTTTCTCGGTAAGAGAGTGGAGGCCATCAGAAGGGATGTTTTTCGAAACTCGAGTTTTTGCAGGGAAACCACAGAGTTGCTGGCACTTCATCCACTGTGAATCTATTCAGCCACTCCTCTGGCGTGCTAGATTTTCCCGTAGATGGGTAATCACTGCCTCACTTTCAAGCATTTCATTTGCAGCCTTCAAGAAGACTAGAAACATAACTAGTACCACTTTCTGGAACTCCCCCATGCTTCTGCAGAACAGTCACGCAACACAGAGCTGGTCACGGCAGGTTTTCCGATTCCTCTGCCTCCAGTGAGTGGCGTTAGCTGGGTGCTGTGCGTGCTCAGCTAGCATCCAGTCCCTGGATGACTTCGGGCTAACCTCCCCCAAACTTGTTCCCAGCTAATGTGTTGGACTGCAGCATCCATATTCCCCGGCAGCATGCCCACGGGCTCAACTCATCTGGAAGGCCAAGACCTGGGCGATCATTCCTTTCAGCCGAGCCAGCTTCGCAGGGCTGTCGTCAGGACAAACGGGGGCCTTTCAAGGAAAGGTGCTGCAGCAGCGATACTGCCCTCCTTCCCAATCGCACCTAATTGAAAAACAGAGAATAGAAATGTCAAAGATAGGCTGGACATGCACATGGCGGGCAAGTCGTGAGCAGAGCCGGCTGGGGCCGGGGGTCAGACGAGATGGCCCGGGAGGCCCCTTCCGGCTCGCTCTGTTTCTGTGAAGTCAGGCCCTCTGATCCTGCAGGTGCGTTCCCTTGGGAGGACACCTGGGCAGCAAGGAAGCGGTACTCTGAGCATGCTCAGAGGGCACCTGCACCGCTTGCTTCGCAGCCCCGCAAGTTGCGGGGCTGGGCCCGGGCCGAGAAGCAAGCCTTCCCACCCCCCTGCGGAGAGGCGCGCGTCTCGGGCCCTGGCTCGCCGTACCGGGGCACCGCGCGCCCGAGCGAGGCCCCACGCAGGCGCCTCTCCCCGCGCACGAGCGTGTGCAGAGCGCGCAAGCGGCTCCGGCCCCTTTAAGAGGGCGGCCGGGGGGGGGGGGAGGCGAGACTGTTGCGAGCGAGAGCTTAGCTGTTTGTTTGGTGTGCGCTTGCTTGCCGCCGCCGCCGGTGCTGCTGGGGAGCGTTTGAGCGAGAGCAGCTCTCGTTCGCTTTTCCTGTTCCTGCTCCGATTTCAAGCCTCAGCAGCAAAGGCAGAGGAAAATGGGGATCCCGAACTTGATTTGTTGCAAGGGCGTCTTTAAGAGAAAGTGCAGGAGTCCCTGCGCCGCCTTTTCCTCCTCTTCTTGCTTGTAGAATCAGACATCTTAGGAGAGAGGACAGATTTCCGAGCTCCCGAAGCAAAAAAACCATCCGGACTCTTTTTTGGATTTACAAAACAGGCCAGGCGGATGGAAAAGAAGGGCACTCCGAGGCCCCTTCTACAGCTTTTCTCTGGATCGATCTAAGGGATATATGTATACATTATCTGTCGATCTGCGTCTGTTGGATTAGCGTCCTCTCTTTGCTGACACACATTTTGCATCTCCGAAGACCCTTTTCCTCTGCACTTTGCTGATCTTTCCGAAATTAGAACGGGAGAGAAATCTAAGCACACACACAAAGGGATTAACAGTTAGAAAGAAGGCAGCAAACAGCAGCAGCGGTGGAGGGGAGAGGAGCTGGTTTTGCAAAAAGGTAAGGGGGAATATTGAGGGACGTCTCCCCCCCCTTCCCCAGTGCTCTCTCCCCCCGCCCCCCGCACCGAATACTTCGCATTGCTCAAAGGCAGAAAGGTAGATTTGGGTTTCGAATAGCGGCGTTGGCTCTCTTTCCCTCGCCTTGATCAGTTTCTCATAGGGATGTTGATCTCCTTTTTGTGGTTGTTTGCTGTTATTTTGCGCTTTACGTGTGTAATAGATCTGACTATTTTAAGACTTTGGAGAGGGAGGGGGGATTGGGTCTTATGGCATGAGTTCCTGCGTATGAGGAGAGAACCGAGGCGAGAGAAACCTAGCAAATCGGAGGATTGCAAAAACACGCACTCACAACACAGAAGAGCCTCTTGTTCCTTGGTGTTTTTCGCTTCCTTTCTTTGCATGCGTGACTAGTTCAGCTTGGAGAGAGGGTGGCAAGCGAGATGCGATTTATTTCCCATTGTCTAGACCTGGGAATTCCCCACGAACTGGACTGTTTGATTTGCTGAGTAATCTTAATTTGGCCTCGTATATGTATGTGCGATTAACACCAGGAAATCTGCACTGCTGAATTCTGGAAGTCTTGTAACACTTGCTTGTGAAAGTAATTTGCCCTGCAGTTTACTTTCGAGTAAGGCCGCAGTCCTGTGCATGCGCTCTTTATACCCGAGCCGATGCATGTTTACTCGGGAGTAAGTCCCGCTGAGTTCAGTGCATCTCCCTCCCAGTTCCAGGATGGCAGCCTTAATGACTTAGTGAGCATCTTCGTAAATGTGATTGCAGTCCCATCCAGTGCATGTTGACTCAGTGGGAGTTTACTCCCAGGTAAACATGCAGCTTTCAGTCCAATCCTGACACTGTTTACTTTCGGAGTTCTGTGATTTGTTTCCAAGGATGGCAGACCATCCCATGCACACATACTCGAAAGTGAGAACACGTGAACTCCGCAGGGCTTACCTTCAGCTAAATGTGCAGAGCATTGCGTGTGGAAAGAATGTGCCAGAGTCTCTCTTCCCAGAGAGGCACTTTTGTATGTCCACCTCCGAATTCTGCATAAGGGGGGGAAGGGACAACTTGTGTGAGCAGGATTCAAGACTCGAGGGAGGAAGGTGCTTGTGTATTTTGATTTGAGAATTGCAAGTCATCTGGTCCAACTTTTGAGTGCTTTGGGTTTTTCCAGAACAGAAAAGACCAGCCTGAGTCACAGCCATATGCAACCAGAACTTCTCTGCAACTCGACCCTTCATTGAAGGCAGTATCGACATGGAAATTCTCAAGCGAGAGTGGTGGAAACTGAGGCCGTTGGTTGCTCTCCCATCTGTTTACGCAGTCCAGTTGGCTTGATGTGGGTTTGGTGGCAGAGAGCCATTGGCCAGCTTATTTTTCCACCCACCGGCCACATGGCCCGCTTGTGACAGCAGGGCTGGGAGCCTGGGTTCCTTGAGTGAAAGGGGAGGCTCTCCAAGGCATGCGTGAGATGTTTGAGTTGGACGAGGGACTCTTATCTGTCTTGCAACTGGAAAACTTCTGAGCAAACTCATTTTGCTGTATTAGTTTGTGTTGTGTGCGTGCAGTGCAGACATTGGTGGATTGGTGGGGACAGGTTGAATAGCTTTGATGCCTGCGCTGATAAAATTGGTTGCTGGAAATGCTTCAGCACTGACCTGGGCTGTGGATGTGTAAATATTTGTCAGGTGGGCAGTGCTGGATTTCCAGGCTTCTGTATTAGAAGAAAAATCTAGTGTGCCCTTGTGAGGAGTTCTAAAGAGATTGTGTTCTTCCATCTTAACTCTCCCACCTAATTTGGTGGCTGAGGGCACTTCATGCTTGCCACCCAAAGGGCTTTTTTGTGTTTCCTGCCTGTGTGTGTGATCTATACAAGGTCTCCACTCCCAGCCACTGCCCGGACTCCTTTCCAAGGACTCCTTATAATGATACAACAACTGTATATTTAGAGAGACAAATGGGAGGAGAGAACTGAAATAATATTAATGAAATAAGTGCAAGGGTATTAATTAGGAAGGATATTTGAGTGTTCACAACTCTTCCTGCCAACATTTGTACCTGTTGTATTTGTTCAACTGATTACCAGCCTTTTTCGGCACCCAATTCGAGATGGTTGCTTTAACTTGTAGCCTGGGGTAGGAAACTTCTGATCTTCCAGATGTTCCTGGACATGACAGCTGGGGCTGATGGGAGTTGCAGGCCAGTGAGACCCTTAAGGCCACACATTACCTTCTGATATGGTCTCGATCCAGTGTAACCTTGGGAATGTCTCCTCCTCGGGAGGTATTTTTGCTTCAAGTATTTTGGGAGAGATGAGGCATAAATGGCTGTAGGAGAATTGCAGAGGGGCTTGAGTTTGGGGGCGGCACTTGTCTTGCAGCTTGACCCGTTGTTTTCTTTGGAAAAGGAGAGGCTTTCTAGGTCCCCGAGGACATTTCTTGCCCATACGCTTCCTCCACCCTTCTTGGAGTAGGTCCGCCCTGCACACACAAGCGTAGCTTTCCGTATCATTACCAGTGTGAAAAAGTGCCTTACACAGTCTCCTTCCGTGCCCTGCTGCTCACGCTGGCCTTGTGTTCCCAGTTCTCTTCCTGAACTTCAACCAGGAGTGTGGGACCTCAGGCCCGTGGGCCAAATCTGCTCCACCAGCCCGTTCCACAGTTGGCTAAGTGTAGGCGGTTTCCCGGCTTTTACATGGTTTCCCTGCCCCATCCGGAAAGGTGGAGTTGCCCCTCCGTTGCTGACAGTCTGAGCTCGCCACTAAAACAGAGAAGCATCGTGGGCCTTGCTGCTCTGGCCCTGCTATTGCTGGAATGTGGTACTTAGGACGTCTCCAAAAGGAGGCCCTGTCTCCACAAAAGAAGCTTCCATGGTTCTACAAGCTCTTCACTTGGTTCCATCTCAGAGGCTTCTGGTCATGTAGTCCAGGGCAGGAGGAGCAGTGGAGGCGGTCCTTGCCTCCTTGCCATGCATTTTTCACTGGACAGGCATTTTTGCCCGTCCAGTGATGGTGTTCTGAAGTGGGTGGGAAGGAGCTGGAAGCGGCCTCTGGGTGCCTTTTCAGGTCTCTTCTGCTCCCTGCCCCTGCAGCGCTGTCCCTCCCTGTGTAGCAACTTCTACGAGGTTGCATTTCCGACATGGGAAGTCAGCGGGCATGGTTCTTTCCGTGTGGGCTGTGAGTGGAAGGGGTGGGCCAGATTTCTGACAATGTTCAGGGGTCCCGAGGGGTTGCCCCCTCACCACCCTTCTTTCCAGACTTGCCTGGATATCATTTTGGAAACTCCAAGTGACATTAAATTAAAGGCAAGCTGCTTAAGGGAATGTGAACTGTAAGTCTAGTTCAGTAGAAGAAAACCTGCTTTGTAGGTCTGCCATCCCAGGCTCAGTCCCTCATGCTTCAGATAAAGTTGGGGAAACCCCTTTTTCGGCACAGCACGTGGTGTTAAGCTAGGAGGACCGACAGCCTAGCTTGGTTAGGGCAGCTCTCTTTGCCTGAAACCATTTCTCTGCCAAGGAACCCCTTGTGGGTCTGCTCTGCAGGCCTTTGTGTATTTTGGAGGCTCGTGGAACCTTGTGTATTTGCAGTATTTACGTCACACGCCACATCTAAGCAAATTGCAGAGCGGTGAACAACAAAACATAAGCAAGAGCTTAAAAAACGAGATCCAGAGTACGAATAAAAAGTCGTGGCTGGTCAATCAAAGAAGACGTGTGGAAATCAAGATGTCTTCAGCGTATGTTGGAAACAAGGGATGTTGGGGCCTGGCAGGTGGTTTGGCAGAAAGGGGAGTCGCCACAGCAGAAGCTCTGCTTCAGGCGGACTCCGGTCGGCACAGGACAGTGAAGTGCACCTCATCTGATGAAGTCAACAGCCAGGTGTGTTGGTCAGGCAGAAGGTACGTTCACGCATATTCGAATCTCCAGTAGCAGAAGTGCGGATCTGGACCAGAAGCAGGCAGGCAGCTGGCATAGGCCCTGCACAAAGCAGTTGCGCACGGGAAAGTGGCAGCTCTTGACAGCGCAGGAGGGACCCTCGTCAGTGCAGGGGGGTCCCTGCTATCAAGAGCTCCAGTGCGTCACCGTTTTTATTTTATTTATTTATTGCAAGCATTGGTATCCCGTCCTTCCGCACAAGCGCTCAGGACGGCTTACAGAGTACAAAATTCTGAAAATACAATAATAAAGTTGCTGGAGTGGATGAGCAAGAAGCTGCTGGCGCGTTCCTGGCCCCCCCCCCCCCCCCGGCCACACGGGCCTGCGTGTCATCCAGCGGGGCTCCCATGTTCGCAGTGCCCGTTGGGCCTGGGCACTGCCCCGTGGGAACAGAGCCACCTTCTCCATCGGGTTGTCTGCCAGAGGTCGTGGCCTTCAGCCCCCGTCTCCCCTAGCGGCGCGGCCAGTGCGCTGGGATGGCCAGTTTTGCGGAGCCTGGGCTTGGACCCTCGGTTCTTTCCTCGTGCCTGCAGCCATTGCAGGGGAAGGTGTCGCAGAGCCACCATGCAAGCTGTTTTCCTGGCAGTGACCCTGATATGCCTCGGGGGGGGGGGCAGAGTCTTTGGAAGACCACTTGGCCTATGGCGCAGGCCTGGCCTGAACAGCAGCGGGCAACTTTGGGGGAGTCCTGGGGTGACGTTTCCCCGCCCCCCCCCCCGAGGCACTATTCCCCATCTGTGCCTTCCCTTCGGATGATGAAAAGATATTTTAGATGGCTTATGGAGCAGCTAAACTTGCAGAAAGGATAAAACGTGGTCAGACTGGCGTATTGGGATGCCAATCAACAACAAGAATAATTAGAAGAATTCTTCCTCGATTTGGGGGTGGGGTGACTGTAGTAGCGGCACCAGGAGCCCCTGTGGCTGGTCCCTGGCCTGAAGCCCAAGAGTTGTCGCTGTGGGGTGAGGTGCAGTTGACTTCATGGGTTGCTTTAGGCCACTGTGCGAATGACTGAGCTTTTATGCTTAGCTGGGGAAGGGAGACTCCTGTCTTGCAGCAGAG